ATCCCTATTTATTAATTCTTTGTTTATATTCTCCAAAGAGCTGCTTGAGGCGTTTCTCCACTTATCCTTAAAACTTCAAACTGATGCTTTCCCCGCTTCATCTCTGTAATTCTTTCACTACTTACATTGCTAAAAAAGGGGCTGGGGATTTAGCTCAGCGGCAAAAGCGCCTGCCTGGCAAGCGCAAGGTCATGAGTTCGGTTCCCGGTACCGGAGAAAAACCAAAAACAAACAAACAAACAAACATTGCTAAAAAAGATTGAGGTCACTTTACAAGATCCTCAAGTTCCTGTCCCTAGTCCTTAAAACCTCATATCTTCTGCCATTCTTTCACTTTTCCTCCTTTCCAATAAGAAGTATGTTTCCTCTGTTACAAAGCTGACTTCTCTACTGCACGCATGCGTGTACACACACACACACACACACACACACACACACACACACACCATCTCCTCTGGGACTATGGAATAAGTTTTCCCCTTTTTACTGACTCTTTCCAGCATTGAAAATTACCCAAGAATCCCATGTACCAATAAAACGTACATGATAATATTTTTAAATATGTATTGAGCGTCCACTGTATGCCAGATACTATACTAAACACTTAAAATATACCTTATTTAATTCTTAAAACCAATTAGTTCAAATTATTATGAAGAAATTTATTATTTTGAGGAAGCTGGGGTTTTAGAAATATCAGGTAGCTTTCCCAAGATCAACTAGTGAGGAAATAGCATCTTCCCTGCTCCACACTATTCCCTCGAGAGATCATTCTTCTTTTTGTCTCCTACCATAGTTCCAGAAAAGTCTCACTTCCTCCTCCTCCACCACCCACACACAGTCCACTGCAGTTGTTTCGCGATGCCAATCATACTTCAAGTATTCTCTCTAAGAGCTCTATCTCCAACTGGGGATGATAGAACTTGTTGTCAACTATTCTGCTTTTTGAGACAGTGTTCTCTCTTACTGCCTTCTTTTTTCTTTTCTTTTGATTTGCTTCATTAATTCCTCGCTTTTCTTACTCTTTAAATGTAAAGTCCCCTAGAGTTCCTTCTCTCCACAGTTTTCTCTTCCCGCTTCACACTTAGCCAAGACAATGCATTTGCCCTCACACTATCTACTATGGTGCTGTCACAGATGAACAGCAAGCCCACATGGCTCATTCTAGCCTCCTGTGACCTTGTTTCTGCTCCCTACCAAAATGTCCTTGTAGTTCTTCCTCAAGCTCCTCAAACTATTCCTTTTCTCTGCCACTGAACTCCCCTTCTGCATTTCCCATCACTAAGCACTAGCACTACCTTTATTTTCCTTTACTACCCTGTTCCCCTTATCCCCAGTCCACAGCTGTATATCCCACAGGCAAAAATAGCTGTTGAGGTCTGTGATACAGCTAAAGGTAAAGTGTTTGCCTAAAATGTGCAAAGTGAAAGACAGAGGGGAAGGAAGGAAGAGGGTGTGGAAAACCAGGCACAGTGGAATGTACCTGTAATCCCAGGACCCTAGAGGCTGAGACAGGAGGATCTTTACTTCCAGGGCAGCCCGGGCAACATAAAGAGACTCTGTCTCAGATAAACAAAGAGCTGTGAAGACATTAGGATGGAAATAACCCTGAAATGGGAAGGAAATTTTGGTCCTAATCCTGATTTAGCCATTAAGCAGCTGGATGACTTAGTGACCCAAAATTGAAGCCCTTCTCGCACCAATATCCAATGATTTTATTAAGCATCTGTGGCACTCACTCATCTTCATTACCTTCGGATTAGTCCCACTAACTGCCCTAACTGTCCTCACTCTTTTGCCTGGGCTATTTAAATCTGGTATCTCACTGGTCTTCTTGCTTATTTTTCTTGTTTCTTTCCTTCGGATGTTGCTTTACACAGCCATAAGACTACATACACAAAACACAACTAAATGATGTTTCTCACTTGCTTACAAGGTTTCACGCTTCAGCCAGGTACGGTGGAACATGTCTGTAATACCAGCACTCTGGGAGGTGGAGGCAGGGAGATCTCAAGCATGAGACCAGTCTGGACCACTTAGCAAGACCTTGTCTCAAAATAGAAACAGCTATGGAAAGAGCTCAGCACAAAGGCCCTGGGTTCAAACTTCAATACCACCATGTTATAATTTGTGTCTAGATGTCCCCCCAAAGCTTCATGCAGTCATAGGAGCGGGCTTCTAGAGTTTGTGATTGAGTCATTGTCCAATGCTGGGATTATGGGTGTGAGTGCTACCCGTACCCTAGGGTGGGTAGCCTACATACAATATAAGGGACAGAAAGAGTCTTCTCTGTCCCTCATCCCCTTTTTGCTCTTGTTGTTTTGCTGTCTCCCACTGCCATAAACTGTCACCTTTCTGTCATGCCACCCTGCCTGGAGATAGCTGATTATGGACTGAAACCTCCACAAACTGAGCTAAGTAAACCTTTCTCTTTAATTTTGGTATTGAGCATTTTGTCTCAGCCATGAGAGAAAGGTAACCAATACACACCAGCACCAAAAAAATCACATTTTTTAGGATAAAATTCAAACTCCTTACTTCATTTGCAGTCATGGCATACTGATCTCAACATAATATGTGGTAAAACTTCATTTAAATTGTATTACAAATATAGCTTGGATAATAATTTGAGGGAAAAATCGCTAACATATTTTATACTAAAAATACTAATGAATCAATCAAGTGTTAACTAAAATTTTACAAAATAGTAAATTTGCTTGTAATCATGGAGGTGAAAAGATTTTTTTTTTTTTTTGGTTTTGGTTTTTTTTTTTGTACCGGGAACCGAACTCACGACCTTGCGCTTGCCAGGCAGGCGCTTTTGCCGCTGAGCTAAATCCCCAGCCCCTAAGATTTTTTTAATTAAGAGAGAAAACTTAGAAGTTTTAAATAAAACATTGATTAAAATTTGTCCATTATGTTTAAAAAACATATATGAACAAATATGTCATTAACAAAGTCTAAAGAGAAATAAAAGTTGCAGCACATATATCAAACATGGGCTTAATTTCTTAATTTTTTTTTTTTTTTTTGGTTTTGGTTTTTCTCTGGTACCGGGAACCGAACTCACGACCTTGCACTTGCCAGGCAGGCGCTTTTGCCGCTGAGCTAAATCCCCAGCCCTAATTTCTTAATTTCTGAAGAGTCCACATAAATCAATAATTAACAGCAACAAACAACACAAATTTTTAAAAGGTGCTCAATATTACCTTAAAAGTGAAATTCAAAAGCATGAGATATTTTCTTTGAGGTAATGGTACCCATTGCTGCTTTGGCAATAGGAAAAGGCATTCACATAGACTGTTAACAAATTATAAATTAATGCAAACCTTTGCCAATCAGTTCACTCTATCAAGCCATAACATATGTGTACCCTTTGATCCTCCAATTTCTCCACTGGGAATTTATGCTCCTAATGAATTTAGAAAGGCTTTCACATATAAGGCTAGCAGTTGTAATATTGAAGGGGAAAGACAGAGGGGAGAAAAATGTAAAAAACAGAAAAGCAAGAAGAAAGAAGAAAGGAAGGGGAGAAGAAAAGAAGGAAAAGAGAAGGAGGAAAGGGAAAGACGAAAGAAAAGGAAGAAGGAAAGGAAGGAGAGAGGAAGAGAAAAACCTGGAAACAGCCAATGTGCTAATCAAGAAAACACTGCTTAAGGCATATTTATATGACAGAAGGCTCTGTATAATGATACTTGTTAAACAATGTTTCTGAAATGTGAAAATACTCATGATAGAGTTAGTTGGAAACAGAAAAAGCTACTTACAAAGTATATTAGTATAATTCTATTTTTATATTAAAAGTAGATGTATCTACCACTTCTACACTGAAAAGAGAAAGCCAAGATCTATAGTATATATACTTGCTCTTCACTTACACATTCCCTAAGCACATGTGCATTTTTATAATCAGAAAAAAACTACTTAAAAAGTTTTCAACTTTAGAAAAAAAAAAAGGGTATTGTAATACAAAACAGACAATGTATCTCAAAGTACTCCTTGACTTAGTGCATTGTCTTACATGTTTTGTATGTTTTTTGAATGATTAGTCTGGTTTTCGATCTGTATATATGATTGTGGTGGCCCGTGTCTAGCTGTGTAACCAAAGCCTCATGGGGTCACAGGTGGTGCTTTTTCAGAGGCGGATGGATCAGAGTGTGATGCTGGGCTTAAGGGTGTGTGATTACCGAATCAGTGCCCTGCTTGGTCTGGCATAGCTCTGAGAGTGGACAATGAAAGGCCCACCCTGGGTGTCAGTGCTGCCCACTATAAGGGCACGTTGTGTGGCTACAATATAAGGAACAGAAAGAGGGCTGGTGCGGTTGCTTGCTAATTCATTACTTCGTTGCTTGCTGCCTTCTGCCCACCATAAACTGTTTCCCTCTGTGATGCCACCCAGCCTTGGCGCTGGTGACTACGAATGAAAACTCTACAAATTGTGAACTACAATAGATTTTTCCTCTTTTAAGCTTGAGTGTCAGGTATTTTGTCTCAGCAATGAAAAAAGTAACTAACTCAGTGATAATGAAGTTGATAAGGTCTTTTTTTTTTTTGAGACAGGGTGTCACTGTGCAGTTCAGGCTGGCATTGAACTCATTTTGTAGCCCAGGTTGGCCTCAGACTCACAGCAGTCTTCCTGCCTCAGCCTCCTGAGTGCAAGGATTATAGGCATGTACCACCACATCTGGCCTACAAGGTCTTATAAGAAAAATAGATGAATCTGATGCTGGAAAAATAAAGAGGGTGGGAGGAGAGGGAAAAAGAAGGGACTTGAAATGTGTTATGTACATGTACCACTTCCCTGCAGTGAATACAATCATCATGTTCTGTAAACTTGTACTAATAAAAGCCAAAAAAAAGTTTTCAACTTTTAGTAGAAAAAAGAAAATTAAATAATCTATACCCTTGTATACTTTATATTCCAGTAAAAAATAAAACTACCTGCAGTTCATGTCTCAGAGGTTTTTCAAAAATTAATAATTAAATGTCACTCTTTGAAGGTACTGCAATTAAAATAGTCTGAAAGCTCTGTTTTGGATTTGGCTATCGAAAGAAGATATGCTCCCACACATTCTAATCTATTAAACCAGCTCTACTCACACTGCCTCATCCTTCAAATGCGGTCACCCAGTATTGCTTAATCGCTGTGTGTGTCTGTATAAATTGAATTCAAATGTTACTTCACTAACCATTACCAAGTGCTGACTGCGGGGAATCACATCATCTGAGACCAACCTTTCACATTTACAATCTAAGTGAGTATCGTCACCACAGTGCAAGTATATTTTCTGTCTGTTGTGGGAATAGCAGCAAAAAGGAGTCAGTGGTGTTTATCTTGCCATCTATTCTGGGATACTTCTGATATTCAAAAAAAGGAAAGTAAGTAGAGAGTAAATTTTGATCTTAAAAAATGGCAAAAATAGTGATTGTATGTAGTAAGGTAAAATACTTGTAGACATGAAGAAAGTGCTTTGTTTTTTGAAATAGGACTTGAAAATATTTCCAGATTATAATGTTGATATACACAATTCTTAAGAAGGTGTTGACTTTCTTTGTATCAGTGACTCCAGCATAAATGTGGTATTTTTCAGCTTCTTACAATTTTGAACTTTGTAAGCTAATGCTGGTTGAAAGCAGAGTTTTTATGTTCTTTCAGGCTAGTCCACGGGAGTGATAATGGGAAAACAGTAGTTATAAGATCAAATAATTACTTGAAACAATTAGGTAAACAAGGTAGTCATGAGTCTTCTAACACCCTTACTATCAACACCTTTACTCTGCTAATGTATCCTGATCTTCCAAGAGATAGGATAGAGATTGGAATACAGATTTCTTTGGAAATGCAACTTTTCCTAATGACTAAGACAACTTTTCTTCTAGGACATATGTAGGTTCCCATAAAAGAGAAAAAGGCAAAAATCATAGCAATGCAGTTTTCATGTTCGTAAAGTGTTATATCAGTATCCTGTACAGAGTATTATTTAAACTGTTTTCTATGCAATTTAAAATTTAACTAGTACCATCTTGTCTAGTGAAACTCTGTATCATTTCTAATTTTTGTGTTTTATTTTTTATTCTGTTTAATGGTTTAATCAGTCTTTCATTCTTACATCTGGTAATCTGAGCAACTTCGTTGAAGACAACAATATGTAATATAACAACCACTGTTAATTCCTATCAATTTATTTTGAAACCCTGTATCATTTTTAGTGTTCTTGCTTTGTTCTGTTTTGTCTATGTTGTTGGTATTTTGCTATTGTTATTTTTTATTATTCCTTTTAAAATAAAAAAAAAATAAAATTTAACTACAATCGAGTTGCCTAACCTACTACACAATATATTCCGGTTAAAAATTAACTATTTCTGATGTAAAGTACAACTCTACTTTAAAGAATATAAGAAAATTATTTGTTCCAGGCCAAATATGAATGACCATCACAGGAACATGGATTCAATTTACGCAGAATAACATGTTCCAAAGTCAAAGAATTTACATCCAATTTTACATCAAAAAGAACAAAGAAAGTCACAACTGATCTGTACATTCAACAACATCATTGGTGTGGGTACAAGGTAGACAGGCTACAGCAAAGCTAGTGAGTCTTCCCTGTAGCTTTCATATGTCATAGCATTTTTAGCTTGAAGGTTGGTGGAGGCTGGGGATTTTCTAAGTTTAATACATTCCAAGAAATTCACTTAATAGTGCTGAGACTATTAAATTAAATACACAGGTTAAAAGTAAATGGCTATTGTACCTGTAAGAGCTAAAATAACCCAAGATAATTTGTCTCTCACCCTGTAACTTTCCATCTTTTCACAGTCAGGATCCTCTTAGTCAAGGTTATACAGTCCACAGAATCTCCACATAGATGTAACTCCTTCAGAGAACTGCAGCTTTGTACTACCGTACTTGGATATGTATTGTTTCAAAGAAGTTGGACAACTGTTTTTGTATAAGACAGGCTGAGCATTAGAAGCTGTTGATAACTCAGACCATTAAAGCCCCAGTTTTGATTATTTTCTTTCTTATTTGAGAGTAGGAGGGAAGCAGACTGGGTATGGAGGAAGAGAAACTGGGAAAGTGCTGGTATTAAGATGCAAGTTAGGAGATTAGATTCTAGTCCCAGTGGTTTTTGTGTACCTCGCAAAGCACTTACTCTTTCAGTCTCAGTGTATTCAAATGTAGAGTGAGGGGCTCTGTAAGATGATATTTCAAGTTCTATGCTTCTAAGCATTTGTGATCAACAAAAGTTGGAGAATCAGAAAAAGTAAGGGTTTGTGTGAAGTCTATGAGCTGTGTGAGAATAATATTCACTCCAAAATAAAACTGAGGGACAGAATAGGAAGTCTTCAACGGGGCTACATGTAGATTTCCCTCATCTGACCCTGCTTTAAATAGCCTACCTAAATATGTGATTCTAGCTCCACCTAGAGAAGATAGTTTGGAATTTCAACTCTACAGAGTTATCCAGGGACAAATATAAAGGTACATGCATAAAGTTTATTTTCTATTTTGTTTGTTTGGTACCGGGAATCAAACTCAGGACCTTGTGCTTGCCAGGCAAGCGCTGTGTCGCTAAGCTATATCCCCAGCCCTTAAAGTTTATTTTCTAATGAATCCTCAAATGCAGAAACTCAGTCCTCTCACCTAGAAATTCCTCTCTTACTCAGCTAGAAGAGCGGATTCATATGAAGTTTAAAACAGGTTTAAATTATAACCACTCGTTGGGTAATTTGGGTTTTCTTTACATGTAGCAAAATAAGAGGCCAATCTCTAAAACAAAAAGCCAGTAATAAAGTACTGGTAGAATTTCAGGCAAGGTCAGAGAGAGTGAAAACTGGAGGAGAAACCCTGCTCCTCCTACATGCAGAGCAACACTGTTAGATCTTGATTATGAAGCCAACTTGCAGTACTACACTGAAAGAATATGGAGCTTTTGATAATTTATGAAAGCATTCCATGTTCTTTCAATATGACACTGTGACCCAGATTGATTATCAAGGTAGAAATCCATTGAGTAACCCTTGCCTGAATTAAGCTCGGGACTACAAGTTGGTGACGACTTTCCTATTATTTCTTCTGTAATGAATAGATCACTGCATATATATTCATTCTTGAGAAAAACTATGGACGTGTGAATTTCTTTTTCATTAAATGCTTCTGGTACATTACCATTATTATTATTATTTTCGTACTCAAATTGTGCCAAATTTGGCCAGGGGAAGACTCTGTAAGTTAGCTCATGTATGCTTTTGACACAACCTTACTAATGTTTCAATGATTCACTGTTTTCTGGTACAACAAAATGTTCCATATTCACCACTCTTTTCCCAGCCCCAAATCTGAAGTCATAGTTCCTTCTAGTAGAAAAAATACTTAGAAATTAAGATACAGGCACACATTTATGGCTAGGCATTTATTTATTGCTAGCTCAAGTTCAACATTACAAGAATTTTCTCTTTGGCTTTATTTTTATATCTTTTTTCCCTTACAGTGAAAATTATGTAATATCAATATTATCTATTTATTTGCTTTTTACTATAATATAACAAAACTATTTTAGAAATTTCATACCAATATTACCACTGACAGTAAGCATAATAAGTAAAGTTTAAGATTTCTTTGCAGTTTTTTGGTTGTGACTCTATTCTAGTATAAACACAGTAGAATATTACATTCAAATTTTACTGAAATATTTATTTTTACTATGTAGTTGTGTTATCCATTTTATGTTGAACTAGTCATGGTTATTTCTGTTTGTTTTGAAGTTGAGAGAGTTGAACTAACATATTTTAATCCAACAGAGGCCTGAAAAATGGAGCCTAAAATGAAGTATCCGAGCTCTAAAACTTCTGCAGCAAAACGGAACAGGAAAGATGAAAAAGCCCTGATAAAATCTTGCAAACTGAGAAGTAAGGACTGAATTATTTCTACTTTTTTATGTACTAATTTGAAATTTGGTATGAAATCTCTAGTATTCCACTATTCGTATGTGCCACCTTAGCAAAAGCTATTAGGAATGGAAGAACGGAAACAAAAAGGGGTAGCCCATGAAGACTTAATGTGACAGACTTTGCTTTTGAACAGGCAATAGCCAACTTGTGCTTATTTAATGCATCATAGGGTAGGAATAGTGCAGATAACTTAAGCCTATAAATAGTGCAAAATTCATTATAGCCTTTGATATAAAAGACTATTTACTTTCCCCACATTTCTTATAATCAAATTCCCAACGTTTTCCCTGGAAATTCTAAATTAATCCATTGTCATTCAACAAAGTATTTGTGAATACCTTTTGTGTATCATGCATAGAGTTTTGATTTGCAACTACTGACAGAGGAGAGAATAACAGGTGAATATATTTGAACAATCCAGGCTCCAAACAGAAAAGAATCGACCAAATGATATTCAAGTTTATCTAGGTACAAACTCAGAGGTTAGAGTAAGATGAAATGAAAATAAAGTCAATAAAGCTGAGATGAAAGGGCTGTAAAATTATCAACTTAGAAAAGGACTCATGCAAATTTATACACATATCTCTACATGGTAGAAGTAACAGAAAAGATGGTTAATAGGGCCAGGTGGACCAGAGGAAAAATGGAGCATGAGGAATAATGGTAGACATTAGAGTACCCTCGTGCTCCATGCTTCTTATCCTTTTCCTGAACACCGTGAAGGACAGAAAAGAAAATAGTGTTAAAGAATATCATTTCAGCGTGGCGGTGCAAACCTGTAATCCCAGCACTCAGGAGGCTGAGGCAGGAGAATGGCTGCAAGTTTGAGACCAGCCTGGGCTACAAAGTGAGCTCAAGTCCAGCCTGAACTGCATAGCAAGACCCTACCGCAAAAAGTCAGAAGAAAAAGTCATTTCTGTTCCCGTCTGTCCTCCTTACACCTCTAGCCCACCCTCACTGTTCTTTGGTAACCGAAGAAAACATTAATTTGACAAGCATTTCTGAATAACTAGGAAATCAGTTAAATTAGTCCTTGTAATTGTAGCTGAGTCAAAATGCTCTGTGCAGAAACAGTGACTCAGTGGAAGGGACTACATATCCCCATATTCCTTCTTAATAAAGAATGCATTTTATTTCTACCCCAAGAAATAAGGGCTTTTGGTAGGTACTAGAATAAAGTAAGGGCATGAAGGATGTGCTGGCATCAATGCCAAAGTTAAAATACGACTTCTCCTCAGGGGGGCTGTGGCCCTGTTTACCTATAGAGGCAGAAGTCAGTGATCATCGCCAAGTAATATATACTGCTTTGGAATATATCACATCACCTATATTTTTAGCAGATCTCCTTCCCAACAATATTGACTGAACTTAACACTAAAATTATAATTGTTCAACACTCTTGGTTAAAATTCAAGTTATCTATGTGGTGTTCGTGACAAGTATGAACCACTTTTCAAAACTCAAAGTATAAGAAATGTCTTCTCTATTTTTCTAAATAGATTTGTGCTCTGAGCCCCCAAGCAAAAAGGCAAAAATAAATAAATAAATAAGCAAACCCTATTTAACTCCTTCTCCTGCCTCAGATTGCCAAGATGTAATGCAATCGATAGGTCACGAAGTCACAAAACTCAGTATCTAGTCATGACAGGTATCCATACATGGCAGTAAGCCTCACACTGGTTACGGTTACCCCCCAGACAACTCACCACTGGTGCCAGCAGTGCGTAGTACTCCATGACTGTTGGGGAAGACTCTTTCCGAACCTCATCCCTCCCCAGTTTCCAGGAGGCTATTCCCCAGCTCAGCCCTTTCTCCTCTCCTGCTTCTTCCCGCCCACATTCACCACTGTTTTCTCTTGACTAATACCTAGTGTCCTCATTCATGAGTTCAGCCAGAGGTTACATCTGGAAGCTCCAGATTCAGCCAGCACAAGTATTTTGTTTGGCTTGAATAGTGTTATTGATTTTTCAATTGAAGTAACTTTTTTAATTTAGGAAAAAAAAGATTAAAATCCAGGCACGGTGGTGCATGCCTGTGAACCCAGCACTCGGGAGGAGGAGGTAGGAAGATTAGCATGAGTTCAAATCCAGCCTGGGCTACAGGGTGAGTTCAAGGCCAGCCTGAACTACACAGCAAGACCTTGTCTAACAAAAAAAACCCTCGGGGATTTTTTCATAAGAATCAAAATGTGCAGTTTCTCTCCAAAAAAACAAAAAGAAAAAGGAGCCAAAGGCAGGGGGATGAAAAAAAGAATTAAGATGTACTTGTACATGTTCCATTATGTACACGTACTAACTCCCCACAAGGAATGTAAACATTATGTACTGCACACATGTACTAATAAAATAAAGTAAACCTAAATATAAAAGAACACGGGACCCATGTCCCTGCATGGGAGCAGTTGGCTAAAGCTAGGTAGAGCTATCCATGCTAAGATCTTTATTTTTTAAGGATCTTGGACTTCATCCTGTGGACAGTAGAGAATCCCTAAAAATGTTTAACTGGGGGATGATATGACATTCTTAGAGAGACCACATTGATGGTGTAAAGACAGAGTAAGGGGCAAGAGTAGATTAGAAACTAGTTAGAGCTCTATTATGTTCATCTAGAGGGCTGAAGATGAAGGCCTGACCCAAAACAACAGAATGGAGAGGAAATGCAGCTCAGATAAACTGGGAAGGTGAAATCAGTAAGATTTACTGAAGGTTAGAAAAAGAAAAATGAATGACCCTCAGCTTTCTGATTTAACCACTGGGGAGATAATGGTAGATAGCTGTACTGTTTTTCAAGACAGGGAATTGAGGGGAAATACACCGGGGGTAGAGATAAGGAAATTTGGATGATGATGACTGGCATATTTTACTTTGGATTAGCTGCAGGTCTTTTGGGTAGAGATGACCAAAATTCATTCAAGATGAAAGACACAGATATAGAGATGCTTTGAAGTTGCTAAATCAAAATGCTACACAAAGAAAAGGAAATGGGTAGATGAGGAGAAAGATCAAAGGCAGAGTTCCGCTTTGAGGAGTCATCAGCCTCTGAATGGATGATTGAAATCATTGGAGCAAGCAAGATTGCCCGGAAAGAAACTTTAGAGAGAAGAAAGTAAAAAAGAAAGTCCTGAGGAACCCTGACATTTAGGAGCAGACGGGAAGAAGAACTCCCCGAGACAAAGAGACTGAGAGAATCAAAGGATACTCGTGACTTGGCGATAAAAGGGATTCAAAGAAAGACGTGGTCCTCAGAGTGAAATGGCACAGGTGGATGAAGGGTATAAAGCAGGAAGAGAGCTTAAGAGGGAAGGCTGACAGTTTCAGAGGTTTCAATACACGGCCTGCTGGCTCTGAGGTGGAAACAGGGTGGAAGGGTGTTGGGGAGAAAAGCTGCTCAACTCATGACATCTGAGAAGTAGAGGGAGGAAGACACTGGGGACCAGATACAATCCCCAAGACCACATTCTAACGCCTTACCCAGGCACGCCCAAAATGTGCCTTACTAACCCCACATCCCATGCAAGCCAATCTTGACCACCAAGATTAACCAACTCAGGATCCTCCTGCCTCAACCTCCTGAGTAACTGGTGTTACAGGAAAGTGTTACCGTGTCTGGCAATACTTTGCATGTAATCACTCTCAACATGGATTATAAGTGTATTGAGTGATTATCCCACTGGATGCCAGCCCCTACATCTGCATCTTTACTTCTCGTTTTAATCCCTAGGTTTCTTATTCTACGCTTCAAATACTTCCTCAATATCATGACCCTCACTTCTAGTTCCCCAAGACTCGTATTACGTTCCGCATAGTCCACGCTTGATATTAGACATGATTATCACGTTCCTCATGTAATGCCGACCACCATGTAAAGATAAGCATGTAAGGAATGAGGATGCTTTCAGTACAGTCTTAGGCCTTTTATCTCTAAAGGGACAATGTGGGCCAGTTTAAAAAGCATTGTGTTAAATTAGTTATTAGGAGATTAAATACGGTGCTGGCTCTAGCACTAGATAGCTTTGTAAATTACCTTTATAGTTATAAAAGAACTTTATAAATATGAGATATTGTAGTTGGTATTTCTGAATTGTGAAACAATGTTAGAGAGTTCCAGGATAGATGTGAAAACAGCTGCTGATCTAAACTAGAGGTATTATGGATAATTCAAACTAGCATATAATAAAAGTTTATTCCACTTAACTTGAAAAATCATTATATTAGGAAGTCAAATCTTATAGAGAATTTAAAAAAATTAACAGAATGGCTCCCTACTCAAGAATAATTATTTTTCTGCAATACTATGAATAACTGAAATCTGACAATGTTGTATGAATTTATTGATAATTCATTTAGTATACTGTTGAAAATTGAGATCATATGACATTACAACCATCATTTCATTTCTAATGAATTTAATGTTATGTTTGAGACAAATTTTTCTTTGGATAAATGAGCTAAAAATTACTGAATAATTGATTAACTTTTCTGCTTCAACTGAATTAATTTGAATTTGCATTTTCTTAGTCCCTCAAATTGCAGTGTGGCACTTTCTTTTAAAGAATAGATTTTTTATTAGACTATCTCAACCATAACTTCTTACCAGCCATGTAAAATTGGGCAAGTGTCCTCCCTCCTAAGAGCCTCAGATTATTATCTGCAAAACTAGGATAATAATACCTACCTTGTAAGATTATTGTGAAGAATAAAATTAATGGTTAGCACATTGCATAGTCAACTATAGATACTTAGTAAATGGCTGTTATTTTAATATCAGTCCCTTTACAGACTACAGCTATCTCTAAAATTATTAAAAAGTATATTCTAGATAAGCAGGAAAAGGTCTCAAATTTCATATGGCCATAAGCACTTCTCAGTTAGGCAACAAATGGTATATATTGGGTATAGGCTCATATTCTTTCATATGAAATTCTGCAAATCAAGAATTCTTTCCAAAGCCCGAAAGGTTTTCATAAGTCATTTGGCAGCAATATATGACCTGAACTCATTAGTCCATTAAATCCTGAGCTGAACTAAAATGAGATCTTTATTTCACTCTGTAAGTTTTCCGATTTCAGTATAAAATTAATATTTTATCAAGGAGTGCTACACTAGTCTCTTTGGAGGTGCTACCTATATATAGTATATGCTCTCCGTCACAATTCTAAGATCACGAAAGCTCTGAAGTTTGAAACATGACTGACCTCGAGAAACTGAATCTGCATTTGCTTTTTTCATCTATGACACTTAAGGTTAAAGGTTAGAATGAAACAGTACCACATTTTTTTTCAACTCTTTAGAATCCCAAAAGAAGGCGGAAGAAATTTGCCACAAGTCCTACATGACACTGCGCTCTGGCCTTATCATAGAAAAGAAAACCTGCTACTTTAGGAGAGAAATCACCAAAACATGTACACTAAAAACAGGTAAGGCAAACTGTGCATTTCCTGGAAATAGCCATAGGTATCTGTGTGCCTTCATTTACCAAATCTGAATATATTATTCTTTTCCTCACCCAAATTTTGCTTGGGGAAAAGAGCAAAAATAATGAATTTTCTATTGGTCATTTCAAAAAGTATATACCAAGTTTTTAACAGCATGAAAAAATGGTTAAGTTATAATGTTAATCAAAAACAGAGGATATAGTCTTATGTACAAGTATGTTCGCAATACTTTTCAGTTTAACAGAGGTAAACTGAAAGGTTAAGAGTGGTGGATTTTTGAGTGTTGTGACCATGGGTGACTAGTTTCCTTCCTCTTTGTATGCTCTTCTGAGGTATGAGGGAGCAGGAGGATTGATTCTGTCAGACCACGGGGTGGCCAAAGCCCTGGGATCAACTGCCTCTATCAGCAAAGCAACCTTGACTGTGAATCATCAAAAGAGCGTGGACTCTTAGAGTGGAGATTACAGAAGATTGATGATTCACCCATAACCTCTCCCTGTTTTGCAGGTGGAAAGCACACCAAAAAATGCAAGCTAGTTGCTGCCTATAAACAGCCTTCTCTGATCAACTCTTTCTTTGAAACACGTGCCATCAAAGAACCTGTTGCAGCACTAAATACATCAAGTTTTGCAGGTATGACTGGTCACAGGAGAGAAATGGGGTGAGGAAAGAGTAGACACAGGACCCCGGCAAATGCTACTCTAGGTAGTAGCCCCAAATCTGTGTCTTCACATGTATCAGAAAGTTCTGTCCATTTGCTGCTGAACTTTCCCCTTAGTGGTATCCAAATTCGGCACAGCAGAGCTGATCTAACGATGCGCACACGTGCTATAGTCAGCACTGCGTCCTTACTCAGAAGTGCCTGGTACAGTAGAGATTGGACTCACATATACTTTATTCCTGATGAAAATATATGAGATGTGATCAAAACATACAGTGAATGTTAAATTTTTAAAAAAAATTACAGTAAAAAACCATTGTCATTAGCTTCCCCTCAAAATATACCCTACATTAGAAGCTCACCTAGCAATTCATTGTTTAACTTTCCTTTTGTATTTTGTATATTTTTCTAAGTACAATTCAATAATGTAAAGAAGATACAGTGACCTTTCTTCTTTTATACTATTTATTTGTGGTATCGGGGATTAAATCTTTCTTCTTTTATACTATTTATTTGTGGTACCGGGGTATGAGTGCCCTCATACCGAGCTACATCTCCAGCCCTTACTTTTTATTCTGAGGCAGGGTCTTGCAAATTGCTAAATTGCCCGGGCTGTGCTCTAACTTGCAATCTTCCTGCCTAAGCTTCCCAGAGTGCTCAGATTACAGGTGTGCACCACTATGCGCAGCTAAGATACACTGATTTTAATCTGCAGGCCCTATATGGGTAGCATTAAATGTACTCCTGTTTATCTCAGTAGGCTTTAAAAATTTATTATTTTCTAAATAGACTGTAACAGTTAAAAAGATAGGAGCACTGCATAAAGTGTCTCTGTTACTTAGCTGGAGTCTAGAACTAGGCTTACATCTGCATTCTCCCGGACTGTTAGAAGTCCTAAATCACTATGTCTTATAGATGGGCATTCATTTACATAAATCTATCAAAGTAGAACCCTTTCTCCCTCACAGTCCCCTGCACCATGGGGCCAGAAATGGAGGTTTTCACAGGCAGTGCCTGGCACTTTTTCAGCTTCTTTGTCCCCACCTAACGGTCCCATAGGAGCTAACATGGCCTCCTAGGTCATTCACTCTGGAGACTAGTACCTTTAAATCTTAGTATTTTGGCTAGGTAAAGCTTGTGCCAAAGTATAGCTCAAATTTTTTTAAAAAAATGTCCTTTGTGAAGTACTTCAAAAAATATTTTGCCGAAAGAATTGCTCACGGGAACAAGCTTTTCAAATTCTTTTTTAAAAATTTTATGGAAAAAAGGTAAAACAAAATTTCATAACAAAATAATAGGAGAATAACAATAATTAATACATTACATGTTGTTATCTTTAAAGTAGTTACTCAGGGTAAAAGATAGGGACATAAAAATTTCCTCAATCAATGTTGGTACAACCTTTCCTTTTTAATGAACTAAGAGACCCTAATAGTATAACTGACTTGCATTTTTTGCCCTTTCCCTATGGTCCTTTCCTCTTTCACCTATCCTACTTCCTTTTTCCTTTCGAATAATTTCTTCCCATTTCACAATATCTACTGTACATTTTAGACCTTATTCACTCTTTCAGTTTCTCACACCAGGGAGACAAAAAGATGTTTACACATATGAATCTGATTTATTTCACTTCAGAGTATGGTCTCAAACTGTATCCATTTACCTATAAAAATCTCATGTTTATCCTTATTTATGGCTGAACAGTACTCCATTGAATAAAAATGCCACATCTTTTTTATCCCTTCCTCAGTTGGTGGGCATTTGGGTTGTTCTCAAAATTTAACTTTAACAGATTGTACTGCTATAAACATCAGATTCTTTATAATAGGAATTCCACTTGTTACAGAATCTTGTGCTTCCCTAAGTACATACAACGATCAATACATTAGTTTCGTTTATGAGAATGGAGGTTATGTGATCAATGTTGAAGACTCGGGAAAAGATCAAGAAAAAGGTAAAATACGTCCTTATGCTATAATTATATAAATTATGACTGGTAAAGTAAAAGTTAAATCTATCAGACCATCAACAAAGAATTAACTCAGTTGTCACAAATAGATTTCACGTCCCGTGCTAATTCATTTCAATGCATTGGGAGCGGATGCTTGGAAATCACTGCCCTGAAAATGATTCAGTAGTTTTGTCAGGGTTCCTCAGGGGAAAAGGTAGATATTGACAAATGTGTCTGTTGTGAAATATGGAAAGAGGAAACACACATGTTTTTTATTGCTAAATTATCCACTAGTCTTTCCAGCTTTATTGACGTCCCCAAAGTACAATCTTTAGTAAAAGAAAATGCCATTGCTATAAGCAATATTTTAAATATTTTAATAATGTTTTTGAAGAATTCATCAGAGCACACTCACTTTTTGAGCTCTTTCTAGAACCACAAAAGTTTTGCTTTTGTTGGAATATAGTAGAAGAGGAGGATATTCTCTGGCATTTTGTACTATATGTGATAGAGTTGAAGTTTTTTGATAAAATTACATGCCCTAAATTGATTTTATGTATTCTGTTTCAGACAAGGTACGATTGCGTTACTATGAGTCTCAGTACCCCTCAAGTGAATCAGGTAATTTGGAGGCCTGACTTGCTACAATATTTAAATTCTTAACTTTGCGGTAAAGATAAATCCAAAATATCCATGGAAAAGAAAGACAGCTTCAAAATGTTCTCTCCCACCTAAGGTCATGGTAAAATTTTAGAGTCAAGGAGAATTTATTCCATTTTATCAAATTTTTAGATTAATAGGATAAAGGTTTGGATACATATAATAAATATCTCTCTTAACCAGGGCTGAAATGACAGATCTGCTCAAAGGTTGCCTGGAGACAGAGCTCTTTCTACTCTGTGGCTCTGCCAGTATCTACACACCAGTAGTTTAGGATTCCCTGCCACTTTAACAATGTCTAAACAGCAGAAGAGGACAAATGCACGCAGGCTGTTTCCCTTACAACTGGAGGTTGTAACTCTTCCATTCATCTCCCACCGCTCAGAACTTGATCCTATTGCTGCAATTAGCCACAAGGAGGTGGGCTAAGAAATGTCCTATTATTGTATTAGAAGAGGAGGTAAATATCAGGGCACAGCTACCCGTGGCTTTACAGGCAGACAGGGAAGCTGATGCCCAGAGAAGTGCCCATCAGAGTCACAATTGTCCAACTGGAAAACATATTTTTAAAAACTAACCTCTCTTCTTTAAGGGATTTAGAAATTCCCTTATTTACCTAATAAGTATTCACTTTATTTGGGTGCAAATATTTCTATGTGAAGAATGTAATGATATTACTTAACATCTTATACTTTTCTCCTGAGTGTTAAATTCATTTAAATTTTATACTTTACCATTTCTTTTTTCTTAATTTTTAAATGACAGATAAAATTATATATGTGTGTGTGTGTGTATTATGTACAATATGAATTTTTGAAGTATATATGCATTGTGGGATGGTTCAATCAAGCTAATTAACAAATGCATGACCTCATATAATTATCCTGTGATTGCAAGGTGATGGTGTTGACGGTGGTAAGCTGTTAATGGTAAATCTGAGTCCCACGAAAGACACAGACGTCTGCTTACATGCAAACAAGAACAAGCACTCTGTCGAGGTAACAAATCTGATTCTGTAATTGTCACTGTTGACAAATATTTATCTATATCTGAGTATTGTGTTTGGAGTATTTCAAAGGAGTTTTGTTCGTGTTTCCATAAATAAAACAATCAGGTACAACTACTGACTTGCTTCTGGAATAGGGAAGAAAGAAAAGTGTAATACTGTATGCAGCCTTGCTACTCAAGTCTGAGTCTACCAGCTGCACAGAATCACCTGGGAACTGTTAGAAATGCAAGATTTCAAGCTCGCCTAGCCTGAATCAGAATTTCAATATTTTAAGGAGCTTCCATGAGTTTAATAATTTCATTAAAATTTGAAAGTGCTGCTACATAGGATGATCTCAAATTCTTTCCATTTGGTTTTAGGATGTGCCTTATGTTCTTCCAGGAAGTGTTTCTTAGTGAAAGAATTTCATGCTCCAAGTTTGCTAAATGGAGGGCAGCAAACATTTCCATATGTTGCATTTATGGGTAGAATAACAATCTGCATTCCAACCACAGGATTCACTGCATAGTCTTTACTTAGTAAATGGCACTGTCATACTGGTCATGAAGAGGAATTATTAATATCTTGAAGAACAAGCAAGACAAAGATAGAAACAAAGAGGAAAACAAAAAAGTATAAGATATATTATGTGAATACACAACAATTATAAAGATAATGCAGTCATGTAAAGCTTTACTATATAATGCATGTACCCAGCATTTTCATTAACAAAATAGTCCTAAGTATACAGAACATAGTGTCTAACATATATGACTACTCAGTAATAAAGGTAACTCCTGCTGAGTTCTATACCAATCATTTGCTAAATACTTTAGAAGTACTGTTATTTAATTCTCACAATAAGCCTATGATGAAGTAATTATATTGGTCAGCTACTGCTGTATGACAAACAATCCCTAAAATTTAGTAGCTTAGAATAATAGTCATTTATATTAATAATATGTCTATAGGTTAAGTTGGGAATTAACTGATCTGGAAAGTTGACTATACTGCAAAATTGAGCCTTGAGAGGTAAAGCAAAGTACCTCAGGTTTTAGAGACAGTACATGGCAAAAGAAGGGTACAAATCCAGAGCTGTTGCATCCAGATCCAGTCATTCTAAGATACATTGCCCCTCTAAATATATTTACTATCAGTGAGTCAAGTTAAATCCTGTGCCCACCCTTTGTCCTTTAGTTCTTCTCCGCCCTACTCAGTAAGTAGGCTTGTTAGAAATATCAATTTATAAGTAATTACTCTCCTTTAGGATCTAACACAGGAAGGAGAAGTTGACTCTGTTCTTCCCACTCACATATTGATTGCTTTTTCTCCTGTTCCCTCAGCTCCAAAAATGTGAAACCACATTGCCAGACCAGGCCTTCTTTGTCCTTCATAAAGAGTCCTCTGAATTCGTTTCATTCGAGTGTAAGAGTAATCGTGGAACATACATAGGAGTGAAAGACAATCAGCTTGCTCTAATAGAAGGAAAGAACCCAAGTAGTGAGAATATCATGTTTAGGCTCTCTGAGATTTAATGCGACAGAAAGCTGTGGATGCTGGTATGAGCAATTCAAGTGTTATCGTTGGAACAGGGATAAGAACACTGTTTTATAAAACAATGTTTTGCGGGGCTGGAAATATAGCTCAGTGGCACAGTGCCTGCCTGGCAAGCACAAGGTCATGAGTTCAATTCCCGGTACCAAAAAAAAGGATAAAACAATGTTTTGCTTATTATGTAAAAATATTTTTTCTAATCCTTCATTTCTGTTTTTGTTTCCTTCTCTATCACTACATGTTTAATAAACATATGAATATATTAAGTATTGATTTTTTAAAAACCTGCTAACTTTTTAGAAAGATATAGCAGAGTTATTTCTTTCAGTATAGAAATAATCTCACATTTAGTGCTGAGATCTCTGCAGAGAACCGTGTGCCATATCCCAAGTTGCTCTTTTAATAGGGATTTATTTTAAAGAGCTGCATCATTTTCCTTGATTCTAAACCTACTACATAGGCTCAATCACTGAGCATGCTAGTAAGAAGACTAGATGCTACGTAGGCTGATCATTATTCAACAAGACTGCAAAACACCAGATGTGTTTGTAGAGGTCCTAGGCAGCACCCTGATTAGCTCTTTCTAACTGCAAGAGTTATGGCACTTCACGTCAGGCATGGTGCTTCACACCCATACTTCCAGCACTTGGGAGGCTGAGGCAGGAGGGTCATGAGTTCCAGGCCAGCTTAGGCTACATAGTGAAAGCCTGTCTTCTATTTGTCCAGCTTCTCAAAAATCCTGCTCACTGTGGAGCAATCATTTAATTTCTGTCCCTTCTTTAGTCCTTGTGACCAACATATTCTTAATATAGCTCTTGTACCTTGTTTTATCTGATCTCTAAATCCCAATACCTTTTTTCTGCTTTGTTTATCTGACATTGTAAAATTTTAGATACAGCTACTTATGGCAACATTTTTATGTGAACAACTTTGTACTTTATTGTTGCAAAAGTAAGAAAATTTATGCTCAACCATATAGTAACATTATTAACTACTAAAGGAATGTTTTGTTTCTGTTTTTTGCTTAATTTAAAGCCTTAACAATTTCTACAATGTTTCATAGGCTGCATACTTACACTAAATGACCAATATAGTAACAGAAAACTTATAAAATATGACCATTTCTGAAAGTGTAAGCTTTTAAATTTCTAGTTTATTAAAACCTATAGGATATAGCTGCTGGTGAAATAAAGTAAAAGAGGCTGAGGATTACTGTATAAACTTATACAATGACAGAACAGTATAACTTTGTTACATTAACTTGTCAATAATTTTTCAATGGAGACAAAATAAAAGCAGAATCTAATCATTCCCTCTGAAAAACAGCAAAGGTTAGACCATGTGCATCTGTACAATAGACAGAAAATAACTACTAACCAACCAAATATATCCATTATCTTGTTTATCAACTGGAATAAACCATTTTTCCAAATGTATGTGTGGCCGGAGTGATTTTATCATAAGATGACTCAATGTTCTGGAATTCCTAATCCATAGATATTGGCGTGTGGAGTAGGTTATTTGTCTGATAATGTGGGACTCAAAAACTGTGATCTGCCAGGGAAGGAATTAGGTCTCTTTGCCTTTGTCTTTCCAGTACCCATTGTGGGAAGCAGCACAAAGGAAGTATTGCGTGACTGTTACTCAGGATCAGTCAACCTGTACCTGCATTGAAATTAACCTAAGATTTCTGATGCATTTAGGTGTCTTTCAAACCAGCTATTCGTTTCTTGTGTCATATTTTTCTTTTTTAAAAACACTATCAATCTTTAATACCATCAGTGTTGATCAATATTCAAATGTATAAGCCACTGGTAGCACATACCTATGCTCCCAGCTACTCAGGAGACTGAGACAGGCAAGGACGGATCAGGCAATTTAGCAAGATCCTGTCTCTAAAGCAAAAATAAAAAGGGCTGGGGATGTAGCTTAGTGGTAGAGCACTTGCCTATCATTTGCAATGCTTTGGGTTCAATCATTAGCACCAAAAAAAAAAAAAAAGAGAGAGAGAGAGATACAAATATTCCAATATTTGGCAACATTTGGGAATGGAATAACTAAAAATTTATTTACTATAAAATGTGATCAAAGAATATAGTGAACGCTGCTGTGGACTGTCACACAGTGGAAAGGCAGACATCTTCAATAGGAGAAGCTGTGCCTTGGGCCTTAGAGTGTATGACCAGTTTCCACTTGTCTGGTGTAGTCAATTAGTTATGAGTTATGGTGGAGAGGAGATATGTTTTAAAGTGTGCTACAAATTATGGATCGCAAACAACACATTTCATTGGAGTTGCTAGATCACGCTGCTTCAGGTTCTAGCTTTTAAAGAAATGTCATCGCAGGACACGAAACTTTGGACCATGGTTATGATCCTGAGACCAAGGTTCAGAGCTCTTCACAGAAACCACCCAGTTTTTATGCAAAAAAGTATTTTAATCAAAAGGTGAGGTTGATTGTGTTTTTTTTACCCTGATGGAATTATACCAGTGCAAATTGTACCCAGGAACACTATGGTGAACTCAGAATATTATAAGGGTTATTTAGAAGGTTTGAGAAACTAGATGTGTAGAAA